ATTCCTGCAGGGAGGACTCTGAAAAAACATTGGACCAGCTGGGTATTGTTAGTATTTCCCCCAGAGAAACAGGTTAAAACATCTGTGAGTGGGTTTTTTTTTCTTTTTTAGTTTATTTAAGGAATTTAATTTCATAACTGATTAGCACTTCAGCTACACTGCATTCAGGTTTTCATGAGGTGACCAAAAAATACCCCAAAACTGTATCTTCAGTGCAGTCTATCTGTACAATGTTGTTCACTTGAAAATCTCAAGTACCAAATCATGTAAGTAATTGTTTCCTCATTTTTCCTGTTGGTATATTTAGGATGATCCATGAAAATCCTGCTAATTGAAACCAGTACTAATCTATTTTTGCAGTGAACTCTGATGTCTTGCATTAGCTGGCAAAAAAAATTCTGTCTTGACATGAGTTATCTCACATGAAAATGTAGTCTTTATGGAAGTTCATGACTGCAGAGCGAAGAAGATATTTAAGTGTCATTTTACCCCTGAAAGAGAGTTTTAGACATAAGCCTGGAGTGTCAAAAGTGACGTGCTCTGTGATTTGTCGTGCAAGGATGTGGTTTCATAGAATTCTTCCAGAATTTAAACTTAAAGTTTCTAATTCGTGTTAGGTCCTAAAATGCTTTTTTACTGCCATTGAGACCCAGAATGACAGCCTAATGCTTCTGCAGAAATCCATGAATTAGAGTTGAACTCCCGTGTTAGACCTGAAGTGCTGTCTGCTAGCATGCTTCAAGACGTAACTGAAGTATATAATGGTACAGGAGATAACTGCACTAGGTATCCAGTGATCTGACCGCTTAATAGAAGACTGTTAGGCAATTTGAAAGTCATTGACTTGGTCTAAAAAGGTGACAGTTAACCATGTCCAGAGGAAAACTTAGTTGGGGAATGCTTTTCTTGGATTAGATATGGTGACTGGTATTCTTTCCATCTATCCTGTGCTTTAGATATTATGCTACTACCTATATTGAATTTGCAAATGCAGTTTGGATACACTGAAATATAAGAAAGTTCTTCAGTCAGTGCGTCATTTAGATGATTGAATTGGATCCTAAATATGTCAGGTAATTAAGTAAGAAATGTATGTAAAATGAAAAATACTGGACTAAATTATTATCTAAATATTTTATGCAGGGACTATATTATCTTCACAGTAAAGGAAAAATGCACAGAGATATAAAGGTAAGTAAAAACTGAAGGGAATTTTGGTGGTTTTAAAATAGGCTACGTTGTTGGGGGGGATTGGTTCTGTTTGGTTGGTTTTTGTCAGACTAGGGATGCAGTGGATATAGCTTCAACTGTGGATGCTTTAATGTAGCCTCATTCCAAGTTATTCTCATTGACTGCAGAACGATATTTGGGTTTTGAGCAACGATAAAAATGATTTCAGAATGAAAGATTGCTTTGGACACAGAAATTAAACATTTTTTTATTATACTTCCTAGAATGCAGAATGGTACTTGTAAGGATACAGTGCATAGATACTTGTTTCTAAACAGGACTGTGCTGATAAAAAATGCTTATGGTGCTTTACATTCAGAATTGTTTTTTTTTTTTAAAAAAAAGCTGTTCTCATGAGCATGGAAAAATACTATCTTCATCTGCAAATCTCCTGATGAGTTATGTCTGCTTCCCTTGGTAGCTACGTTATGTATTTAAAATACCTGTCCTGTTACTCTTGAAAGGTAAACAAGGTCAAGAGCATGTTAACTGGACTGTCACACTATTTACCAAGCTCCACTTGTAAGGCTCATTAACTATAGTTGTGCAATGTTTGCTGAAGTAAGCTGCATTTTTCTGCAGGCCTGGCTTTTCCTTCTCTGTGAAAATCCATAATCCGTAAAAATGTAGTTTTTTGGAGGCTCATCTGTGCTGCCTTTCCATCTAGTTTATGGGTAGTGCTGACACTTGGAGCTATGTTTAGCCAGCTCCAGCCTTCACTCAGCTCAGCCTGTACCTGGTTTCAGTCTTCAGATCAGGTTTGTTCTCAGTCCTTTTATGTTGTAATTTTATGGTATCAACTACCGCTTCAGGTTCGTTTTGACTATTGAATTGAAGCAGGTGGTACATACAGCCACAGAAAACCGAACTCTTCAAATCTAGCACTAACAGAATCTCTGTCGCATAAGGATGGAAATAGTTTTGCTAAACATGTGAATATCAAAGCAGGTCCCTAAGGTTGTAATTATGGTTATCATGGCACTCAAACAAGACAAAGCCAGCTCCTACATATGAAAAGAAAATCAAATTATTTCCGCTTTGACCTCTGAGGTTCCTATTTCCTTTCAGTCAGTGTAAATAGAAAAAAGTAAGAATTTATCAGCATAGGCAAATCATCATATTCTGCTTTTTGAGAGGGGTTTTGTATGCAAACTGTAGTACCATAGGCTAAAGAGTACTAAACTAGAAATTAATGAGAAACCCTGTATATCTGAGCTTCTTTATATAGCAGAATGACAACTTGCTAATTTCACAAACGTTTCCTTGGTAAGGCTGCATATTTCTTGAACACACAATCCTTGGTTTGTCTTTGGCCCCTAGTTTGCCATAAGGTCTCATAAGAATAATCTGTATGTTTTAATTCAAGTATGCTTTTTTTTTTTTTTAAAGGGAGCAAACATTCTTTTAACAGATAATGGACATGTAAAATTAGGTGAGTTAATACAACTTAGTGTTATTAACAGATTTTTATGTGCTCTATGAAGCAGGCTTCTGTATTTTGTTTAATGATGTAATGGTTCATGTAAGGAATTAGTGAATATAAGAATTCTTTTTCTCTTGCTGGTAATATCTAACTGCACCATCCAATCAGCGTATGAGGAGTAACTGGAGTAGTTTTGGAACACTGAGGTAAAAGACTTTCTGATGTTGTAAGGGGGAGGTAAAAATCAAATCACAGGTTTTTATAAATTTCTAATAAAGTGCACCATCCAGAGTGCTTAAGTGTGAAATGTGCCTTGAAAGGTTATCTGAAAGAATCTCTTGGATAATACTAAGTGATGTATTTTACATATTAAGACACTGCATGTAGCTGTTAAGAGTTCTGTGCTAGCCTGTTCTTTCTTTATGAGGGGCATGTTTGTGTGCAGCATGCCTGTTTGGCAGGTGACTGAGAGGAGCTGACCTACAATATCCGAGATAGACTAAGTTTCTATTATTTGCTTTCTTTATTTATGTTTTGTTAAGTATTTCCAGTATATTTAAGAAACTTACAGTGGGGATACCAAACTTGTATTCATTAACAATTAATTACATCAAATCAGTTATTAACTCTCATTTTGCTTTTGCTTTTTTTTTTAAATAGCTGATTTTGGAGTGTCTGCACAGATAACAGCTACGATTGCCAAAAGGAAATCATTCATTGGCACCCCATATTGGTAACTGTGTTTTACTTGTCCGTTAATGTATTGGTGTCATATATAGTGCTGTTGGGAAAAAAATTTTGATTAAATTATTAAAGCATGCTGTGTAACTTTCTGGGTGAACTGATCACTAAAGGCTGTGTTAGACTTGCTAGTTATCATATCTGTATTACTTATGCTAAATCCTGAATTAGTTGAGTATCAGAGCAAATGCTGTAATGGTCTGAACAATTGAAAGGCTGTCTGTGTGCTGCTGTCGCTGTGGACTAACATGTCTCAGTTTAGTCAAACTTAAAAACTATCAACAATTTTGCTTGGTTTTAACTGTGATCTTAATTTTTTTTTTCTTCCCTAATTTTCCATTTTGATGTTTGACATTTTTTCCCTCACCCTAGATAAGTCTTTTCTGCAACTCTTCATCTGATAATGAGTTTCATTTATTTGTCTTCACAGCTCCTTTTGCCACTTGTGAAATGTTTCCTCTAAGCCATTTTCTTTTTTTTTTCCTTTATTTGCCTAAATTGATTGAATTCAAGTGTACATTTCTGTTCTTTCTGTACTGCATCTTTATTCTTCCCTCAGTAAACTAGTTTGCATAATTTATCTTTTCTAAAGTTCAGCCTTTTATTGTCTCCTCTTTGTACTGGAAGTGGTTGTTCTCTTTCTGCCTTGAAGGAAATGACACACATTCTTCACTGTAAAATAGCACTTTTGTTGTACGTTTCCCAAAAAGATACTCAACATTCTCAGAAGGATAGTAAAAATTCTGTTGTCTGGCAGCATAGTAGGTACAAGATAAAAAATGTATATAATGAAAAGAAAATTCCTACATTCACATATAGATTGAGTCTTGAAATAGTCAAGCATGGCATTTTAGCGTTCTGCAGTGTAAGTCATGCCAAGGCATGGATTCATTTACCTTTCAGAATAACACAAACACCCATCAGTCATGATTGTATTATTGGTTTATGTCTCTCTTTCCTAAGGTTTTTGTTTCTCTTTCCCAATGTGTGGGTGACTTTAGTCCTGGCCTTTATCACTGTGTAACTTCCAAATTGTGACAGGCTTCTCAAATGACATGTCGTAGCCTTAAACAATAACTCTGAAAGCATTACATAGATTAAATGCTGATTAAAAGTGTCAGTTTGTCTTTGCAAAGCTTCTCACAGATTTGAGAGGAGAAGCAAGGAAGTGAAATTGTTCAGGTCGTGGAGAAGAAAATTTCATTTGAAACAGGCAGTGTAAAGGTTTTAGTGATCATTAGAGATGTCTGGGCGGGTAAGGCTACGGTGCTTGGATGGGAGAGAAATGATGGGCAAAACTGCTGTGCAGCATCTTTATTTCTAGTAACCCTGTTATTTACCCTTGTGCTCCCCTTCTGTGTATTTCCAGAGCTAACCCATGTTGCCCCTCTATCTTGGTAACTCCCTCCTTTTTGATTTAGAGTGATTCGGGGGGGTTCTGAACTCTTGAAGAAATTTATGTAAAATCAGTTTATGCAAACTTGAAATGAGTTGTACCACCAAACCTGATGGTGTTTTCAGGTGTGCAGATAAGGATGTCTGTGTTTAAATAATGCATGATGCTGCCGCTGCTTTACTGGAGCACTTATTAAATGACATTCATCTGTCTTGCCTATATTGAGTTACATCTCCAGTTCCACTGCTACTTTACAGATGATCTGGATTAAAGTTCAAAGCTAAAAAATATTAACATGTTTGCCATGTGTAGGACAATCAAATCCATAATTCACTTTGGCTGTTCAAAAGGTGTGACAGTGCCCAGTGACCGATTTTCTTTATGTGTTCTATTTAAGTGTCAGTTATGCTTGTGAATTTTTGCCACCTGAGGATGTGAAACTACTTTGTTAACTTAAATGAGGTTTTCTGACATTACGGTGAGGCAGACTTTACAAACAAGGAGTGCTCTGTGCAGAGGTGACAATGAGTCTTCAGGTCTCATGTTTTCAGGGTACAAGAAAGCTGACATCCTGTCACTTGGGTTTTTGTTAGAATTCCTCTCTTCAAAGTCAGTTGATTACTTTCTGAGGTAATGTGTGACTTTGGATATTATTTGGATTTTACTGTAGTTGAATGGTTATACCTTAGGCTCTTTGGTTGTTGAGTGATAGTTCATTGTGTGACTGCAAAAAAGTCTGAGACAGATTGGTTTCATCCACTTACTGCTAAATAGCTATTCATGTGTACGTGACATAGCTTTTTACACACCGCCCCTGCCCCCGCCATATATACCCACATGTATAAGCATATATGCTGTGAGCTTATAGATTGAGAGCTTTAGGGAAAAGAGTAGAAATCTGCTGTGTACAGAAAAATGTTTTATTTGTGGCGAGAAGTTTATCTAAAACTACCTTTTACCCTCTAGGATGGCGCCAGAAGTTGCTGCAGTAGAAAGAAAAGGTGGCTATAACCAGCTCTGTGATCTGTGGGCCGTTGGAATAACCGCTATAGAGCTTGCTGAACTTCAACCTCCAATGTTTGACCTACATCCAATGAGGTTAGTAAGGGGTTAAAGCTTGGTGTGTATATACAGCTTCTTACGTAATCCATTTGGAGTAGTGGCTATGTGTGCTTGTGGTGTTTGGGGGTACTGCAAGGGTATTGAGCTGTAAGTGTTCTGAATGTAGGTGATAGAAATTGTAACAATTCTTCTGGTGCATAAATGTATAATGTCCTGGTAGTATCTCTTAGACTGATGGATTTCTTACTGCCAACCAAATAATGTATTTAATAATTCATCTTGTATATGTATTGCAATGTAAGCCACAGAAATACTGTTGGGTTTTTTTTAGAGCACTTTTTCTAATGACGAAAAGCAACTTCCAGCCTCCTAAATTAAAGGACAAAATGAAATGGTAAGTACTTTTCTGTTTCAGTAGATAATGATTGTGTGTTTCACTGGGCAACTGATTCTAATGGTTACCATTTCATTTTACAGGTCCAATAGCTTCCATCATTTTGTGAAAATGGCACTTACAAAAAATCCTAAAAAAAGGCCTACAGCTGAAAAGTTACTACAGGTATAAATTTATGTATGGGGTTTTTTTTAAGTTATAAAATTAAAATATGCTTAATACGAGTGGTTAGAATTTTAATATGTTTTTTCCTTCTGCCTTTCAGCATCCCTTTGTTACCCAGCCATTAAATCGAAGTCTTGCTATTGAACTTTTGGATAAAATGAATAATCCTGATCATTCCACTTACCATGATTTTGATGATGATGATCCTGAGGTAAGAATATGTTTTAATCATAGAATCAGATTAAGTTTTCATTTGAAGTTGTTATGATTTATCGAGCCACAAAATGTTTTGTGATCTGTGAATAGTCTTAAGGGTTGCTTTTACTTTTGGTTGCGCTGCTGTCGCGTGTATGGGCAATTACCAAAATTAATTGCATTTGGGGGAAAGAAGCTCAAAGAGAAAGAGATATAAACACTTTAGAATTTTGTTTATTGTTGTCCTTAAACAATTTTGCAACAATAAATGTGGACTGCTTCTCCAGTCCTAAGTTCTGTCGTGTTCTGCCTTCTGTTCCCTTATGCAATCATGTTTCCATCCATCTGCAAAGAAAGCATTCATAAAAATCACTTTATACCTCTGTGGAACTTGTTCATTTGTTCCTATTTTACTTTCTTATGAAAAGGCGGGAATGATCCTGTAGTTGTTTTTTGTCAAATGGTTTGCTGTGTGTTTCTTGCTGATTATATTTTCTATCTTGGAATACTCTGAAACTTGATTTCACTTACGGTTTTGTCAAAGGCAAAGTTCTGATTTTCTCCTTTAACAACTGGGGAAAAAATAGTGTGCTTATGTAAAGTGGTAAACAGTGGAAGAATGAAGTGTTCCATAAATAAGAGAAAACAGATCTTCTGTTATTGCATCCTCTCTTCATACTTAACTGTATGTTAGTGAAGACTTTCCAAATGTTTACAGTTCCATAACTGATAATCTCTTGGAGGGAGATTAATCCTTTTGACACAAATGCCATTGATTCATTAATTGCATACTTGTGGTTTACTTTTTTATGGACAAACTAATCTAAAAATGCCTTTAAAGGAACATAAGCTTAAAAGAAGCAACTACTTTAAGATACTAATTTTCAGATTTTACAAGTTAAGTGAGCTTTTACCTTCTGGAACAGCAAAGACAAGTTGATATGCACCAAGTCTACCTTCCTTAGAAGTTGACATAAATAAATGTGGAAAGAAGCCAAAGTGAAATAGATCTTTTTTATGTTGTAGAGTGCAGTGTTTACATATTTCCTAAATGGGAGGGAAGGAGAGGAAGGTGTAAGGATTGAATAGTCAGTACTTTCGAAAGCAATTGCAAATAGTGGAGCACACTTAGTAAATTTTTCTGTTAAAAAAGTATTTAGGAAAGTTAAACACACAAGAATACCTTTAATGCGGTTGACTTTCATGTCAGTGTTAAGAGAAAGGTGTCTGATTGCTGATGGAGACAGCACTGAGGAACTTGGATCTTCTCACCGGAAGCTCTAAGGATCAGGCGTCCTTTCGTTCTCTGTCTGTTTAATGATGATAGAGAGCTCTGAGGCCATTAAAGTGATATTTCTTTAGAAAAGAGAAAACTGAAGCTTTCATGAACTGTCATAAGAAGGGTAGCTGTTTTCAGTGTGCTTCCTGTGAGTGAGCTGCTCTGATCAGAGTCCTGTGAGTCTTCCCTGCTTTCTTGGAAATTGTACTGAAACCCCGACGTGCCATTCCCCCGTGTCACTGGTATAGCTTTTCAGTAAGAATTTTGACCTTCATTTTGGGCCACTCTCTTCTGTTCCTGTATGGAGTCACTTTAGTAGACATTTCACTGACGATTACTTGTAGCTTTCAAAATAATGTTAGATAGTCCCTCTGACTTACCGTTAAGAAGACTCTTCTGTTGTCTAGTGTCTACTTATCAGTTATCCCACAATGAAATGTGGTATCAGGAGAAAAAAGCTATGCCTTGTCTGGGGAGAAAATGAAGAGAAAACCACCTCACAGCAGTGACCAGAGAAAATGTGTATTTTTGTTATTTATAAAGGAGCTAGGCTAGCTAACAGTACAGAGGACACACAAGCTGCTTGCATGTCTTTTGATATGCATTTTTTCAGATGTTAGTTCTTTGTTTGTTGTTTACCTTTTGTTGAGGGTTTCCTACTGTATTCATGGGCTTCGGTGTTAGGCATGATACTTCTCCATCATTGTTCATCCCATGGCCTTGAGCTCCAGTGAGCTTTGAACACCGTTACCTGCAGTACTGGATCATTTTCATTGGATAGATGACTTTGCCTCTTCTCATTTCTCCCCTAACCATGTTGCCAGATAATTTTCCATTAATCCACCTGCAAAATGAGATTGATAAGTGATACTTGGGGAAACATTTTATTTTGTAATAAGCTAATGTAGAACCCACCTCAGTGAATAAAGCAGGTGATAGTGAATTATCTAATGAATCTTGAGCAAGGTCTGCATTTCAGATGAAGAATCCTGCCATAGGGCAAGGAGTTGCTGGCTTTGTGGTCTTTACCATAATAAACCAAAGGGAATAAGAAGTGTACATGCTCCTTTTATACATGGCTGAACTTGCTGCAATACCTGCCTGCTCACAGAGGTAGCTGGAGATGTTAATCCGAGTTGGGGGATTGACCACTCCTATACTTGTGGCTAACACCTGAATGCATCCGTAAAGAATCGAAAAAAAGCAACACGACATGATACAACATAACATGATACGGACCACTGGCGAGAGTCTTGAGGTTCAGACCTGTTCCCCAGTTTGTTTGGAGTTTTGGTTCTTGCGGGGATGGTGGTGGTGATTGTGGGGTTTTTTGATTGGGTTTGGTTTGGTTTTTGGGTTTTTTTGGAGGCTAGAGAACTTTTCTGGCTGTCGGTGGTCTTTGAAGACGAGTCTACTGCCTGCTGTGATGACAGCTCTTTACCTGGCCTATGCTGCTTTTATGGGGTTACTGCTTTGATAGTCTGCAGAGTTGTGTGTGAGGTAGGGACTAAGATGTGAATTTGCCACCTCTGAGGAGTGCCGTACTACATCGGCAAAGGTGAAATGTTTAATGTGTAAAAACAAAACTAAAACCACACAATCAGATTCTTTGGGTACAATCAGAAAGATCTTCCCTTGATACAGTCATTATTAATTTGGCAGCAATATCTGTAACTGACATTTTGAGTATTTTTCTCTACCTCGACTCATGGAGGACCTCATTTGGTTTCCCATTCAGTCAAAGACAGGATTTCCATTGGGAACTCTGCTTTCACTCGCTTAAGAATAAACCTTTTGAGATGTTGGCAGCTGCTTGTTCACCACGTTTCTGTGATGGTGACTCTCACGATGGATGCGATATTAGCTGCAAAGGTTGCAGGGAGGATAGTGCTTGTATTTTGTCCTTACCGTACTGTAAGTTTTGGGGATAAGATTGCTCTTGAGATTGGTACCATGGTTAGAATTGTGCCCAAATGGTGTTTGTGTTGGGAGGTTATCCTGCATTCCTTTGTCCTCTTGCACAGTGCAGGTGTCAGCTGTTTGTATCAGTTTGTTGTCAGCATAGGTCTTTCAAGGTGACTTGAGGGCTGTCCTCATGACCAAGAGATAAGGATTTGATTCCTTCCAGTAATTCTTTGGTCATGGAGGAGGTGTGAGGGCAGGCTCTACCTGTGGTGCAGTACCAACATCTGTGGCAGGATGCAAGGAACTCGCACAATATCGCTTCAAAGGCAAAACTGCCCCCCACCCCCACTACAGTCGGGTTCCTGATGCTGGCATTACAGATGTACTTGCATCATGTGCACGTGGGCAATGCCTCATAACAAAAGATGATAGTGTTTGAAATACTCACGTAGAAAACCAGATCAAGCCTTAAAACACCTTGAAAAGCTGCCTGAGATAGGCGGGAGAAAGTACATACCCCCAGTCTGTAAGTCTCTCAAGTTTCAAGAAAGACCAAAGTGAATATAAATAGGAGGTGAAACACTTTGTATGTACATGTTGGATCCTAATATAAAGCAAGGAAGTAGTTTGTGATGAAAAGGGAAGTAATACTTTTGGATAATATTTCAGGCACAAACAGAGTTCCTGAGCTATTTGTGACTCTTTGTGATGGTGTAGCACTTGAAATTCTCTGTCATCGCTTCATAGTTGAAAGTTGCCAAGTGAAGATTATAATTAGTATATATGAAAGCAAAGCTAACATACCAGCACGTCAAATTTCTGACACTCTTGTGTCAGATTGCTTTAATTAAAAATGGTTTTGCTGCCACGTATTCGACACAAAAATGTAGCGCACATGCGCTTTTCAGAGATTACTTGGGCTGACATCATGGAGAATGAACTTTTTTATTCTGAAGAGTAAGATTTCATTGCAGAGTGAATCAAAGAAAACTCAATAACAACTAAGTGGTATTAAGCAGGTATTCTTTATTATGGCACCGGGCGGCGGGGGCGGGGGCGGGGCACAGGCGCGGATAGCTCCTTCCATATGTGCTCCAACAGGTTAGCAAAACCCATCAGTTCATATACACAAAAATCATACATGTTCATCGGATTTCCTGAGAAGGGCAGTCTTATGGTGATGAGTTCCCTGCATTCATAGTCTTCCTCACCCTGTCCTCTAGTTGAATTCTTCTTCTTGAATACAAGCCAGGGCCCTCTTTTTGATGCAACCTTTTGTAACAATGGGTTGTGTACTAGACACTGTCTCCTTGATGTCTGGAGCTTTGTCTACTTGATGTCTACTTGATGTCAGGCAAGATGTTATCTGTTTGTCAGCTTTGCTCAGCAAATAGCTAAAACCATCCTTGCAGGGGAAGAAAAACTCAGGAAAAATGCAAGTAAAGTTTTTATGTGTCTTAGGTATTGTCAGGGGTTTAACTCTTTCAAGAGGACATGCTGAGAGCACACTGTTAGCATTTATGTTGCTAATTTGGGGGCCTGATACTGGTTTTCTACTCTTGTTAAGAAACAAGTTGTGGTTTCTAAGAGAACCTGCAGTAGTGGATGTAGAAAGAAGAGAGAAAATCCAGTAGAGGCAAAGAAAAGAAAGCTAAGTCTTAAAGTTCATGACACTTTCATCCTATAGAAAAGTAGAAGATTTCCTTGGAAATCCAGGGAAAAAATAGAAATGGAACATAAATATGAAGGTGAATTTGTAGAAATGATGGCATCACTCTTGCTACACAGCAGAAGACTACCAGGAATACTCTCTTCTGTTCAACTTTGAAAACCTCGCTAACTTGTCTTCTATGTTTTCTCTTCTAGCCTCTTGTAGTGCCTCACAGAATTCATTCGACAAGTAGAAATGTGAGAGAAGAAAAGACACGCTCTGAAATAAACTGTAAGCATGTGTATATGACAACATAAAATACTCTTAAAATAATCATTGATACTTATTTCAAAAAGGTATTCTGAGTGTCTGACATACAGAAACACTTTTAGTGATACATAGGAAATAAAAACTTAGGCTGTTTCGCTTATGGATATAGGTTCTAGATACTATGCAACAGATATATTAGTGTAAAATATTTGAATACACCCGTTGTCAGCACTTCAGCAAGTCTCACTATTGCTTCATCTTAATTGAACAGGATGCAACCTGAGCTCTTCTGAGAGCTGACTAGTATAGCTTCATAGGCCACTGCAGCAAGGATATTTGGACTGATGATGGATTCTGCTGGGTAACAAAATGGCAAGAGGAAGATTTTTCTTCCTTAATTTAGTATCTTGTTGGTTTTGCTTTTGAATTGAAACAGTGATGTAGAAATCAGGAAAGGAGGAGGTCGATTGCTGACCATTAAAAGCAGACTCCACCCCCCAAATTGTAGTCATTCTTTTGCTTGAATTAAATCAGAGCGATACTTGGAGCTTTACTTTTCTTAAACTAAAATGGAGGGGAGGAGTGTCTGCCAAAGAGCTGTCCTAGAAGATGTGATTAGGTCTCTCCAGACTTGATTCAAGGCTCTTTAGTGCTACCGAATCTCTCAGAAGAACAGATCCAAGAGTGAATTCACACAGTGGGTGTGTGTTTTCTATAAATTATAGCTGTATTGCTTCTCTAAAGAGGGCATTTCACCACCCTATTTGCTGAATGGTTCCCCCCCTACCCCATCCTTCTAATGAGTAGGTGGGGCAAATGGTGATTGTGCTGCCTTTGTGATAGTAAAGCGCTTTCTGTGCCCGTTAGTTTCTAGCAGGCATAAGTTCTGTATGTCCGTGTGTCAGAAGTTTCCATGGGTGGGGATATGATACACTGATTAAATTGGATTTTTCTTTGTTTTAGCCTTTGGAGTCGAATTTTGCCTAATTACAGTCCAACTTAAATTCTTGGTTTCCTTTTCTCCTCTTTAGTTGGTCAAGTGAAATTTGATCCACCCTTGAGGAAAGAGACAGAGCCACATCATGAATTTGTGAGTAACAAGCAGCATGGGCTATGCTCTGCATATTATTCCCTGCAAATATCTGTGGAGGAGGAGAAATTCACAATGTGTAGCATACTTCCTTAGCACTACCAAGCTTGTTAGCGATTTTTCTGACAAGTCGTAACACATTGGTCGTTATTTTTTTTGTGCCATTACACTATATGCAGCAAGCCCTTATTTGTGGGCTCTACCAGGTGTGATGTATATGTGAAGCAGAGCCCTTTGTCTTGTGGGTTTTCTCTATCCTTTATACCTTATTGCAAAGTGTATCTTTCCCTTTATTTATAGAGTTATTTTTTTAACGGTAGAATTACTGTGCATACTCAAATGTTTCTCTCCCTTGTGCTTGTATTGACAATGATTGATAATGTAAATAATAAAATTGAAAGCTTGGGAAAGAGGTATGATGCATTTTAAAAAATTGCATGTTTGTGGAGTTGTTTTCCCCACACAAACAATCTTTCTATGGTCTTGCATCATACCTGAGCCATGCTGAGTCTGGCAGTTGACATAAAGGTGTGTTGCCAATGTTTTCTTCCTATGTACTCATCAGTACAAGGGGTATGAGAACTCAAACAGCGAGGGAAAAGGCATCTCTGCTGTCTCACACACACTTGCAGTAGCTTCCTCTCTTCTATGGAGACTTGCTTTCCACATTTGTGCATTAGGCAGTTTCTTCGTGTTCCTGGATAAACAAGACACTCCTTTGCTTCTTTACTGCAGGTTTCTGTGTTCTCTTTGTTTTTCTAAGGCAGGTGTTAAGGTGAAACAATTGGTTTAGGACATAGGTGAGAGGGACGTTGGCTTTGCCCTGAGTTGGTTTTGGGAAGGGTGTGTGCCTAGGAACGTACTTCCTCTTCAGTAATCTACAAACCACATGTGAATGGGGTTTCTGATGCAGGTTTATTTCCTTCCTAGTGCCTTGGCCTTTGGTAGTGGGTCAGTTGGCTCTGGGCGTATGAGGTTGTATGTAATCTTGCTCTTCCTCAGCAACTGACTGGACATGTAGTCTGCAGTTTCTGGTGCTTGTTCAAGATGGAGGAGAATAGCTTACCAAATCACACATAGGCCTTAGGCAATTATTTCAGGTATGTTATTTAGACCTTGACATAACTGCATAACAACATTATTTAGGAGCCTTGGTTATACAAGTGTTTTTAAAATATGGAAATGAAGTTAGTGTTTCTGCCATAAACTCATCAGTTAACTCAAAATGATTTTTGAACTGATTTCAGGTTATCCTGACTTTGCTTCCCTGTTCCATTGTCTGGATTATAAAGAAAATAATATTGGTAGCATTGTATAGGAGCTTTTGCTCCTTAAGAATTTTATTTATTTATAAACACACAGTGTCATAATTGCAAAAAGGTTTTAATGGAGAAGCTGAAGTTTTAGAAATACTTTTTCCATTTCTTTTTTGTTTTATGAGTCACTGACTATACAAACCAGTTAGCAGACAACTTCATGGGGCAGAGAGGTGTTTTCGTTGCACAGAGAGATTTTCTGCAGGGATTAAAGCATGATTTTTGAGAGCACTCCTTTGGCAAGTGTTGTTGGATAGGAGGAATCAAGCCCTTTTTGTGCCTTGTGTGTTAGCAATCAGGACCTTTGCAATTTCGGAATCTCAGGAGCTCTTGCTGCTCCAGGAAGGGATCCAGATTAATTCTGTTGATAAGGAAATCTCTTAGTATTGTCTATTCCTGTCAGAGTTTGCATACCTGTCTAAAGAATTTGCCTCATCTCCCTGTCTATAACGAAGATCTATAACTGCTTGTTTGGATCTTTCTGAAGAGGGAAATTACTTGTTCCAGTGCTCATATCAGAATGAAGCATTGCAGACCCGCTGTGTCCTTTCCAGATAAACCAGAACTGATTCTGGAAATGATGATTTTGGGTCTAGAAACCAAAGAGAAACCGTATGTTGTCATTAGATAAATAACCAATGAACAATTTAAATTGGTGTGTCAAATGCAAACAAGAGATCCATTCAAAGAATGGATGCCCTAGCAAAGGGCCTTAGCACAAAGCAGAATGAGGGAGAAGTTTGAAACTACATGTTCTGGGAGAGAAAGTATTTGAAGTGGAAGCATGAACAAGAGATGCCTGTCTCTTCCTCCAGCAGTAACAGTGTGGATTCCTTTTAATTAAAGCAGTTCTTCTGACCGTTTTGCTCCTGTCTCACTAAAGCATGCTTAAACTTTTATGCTTTATTTACTTATGGGTATGTGTGCACAAGCCAGAAGACTGGACCACTGCAGTGTGATGAGTTATTGTCAATGGTGCACTGAGATCTTGAACTGGTACATACTTGCCTCTTACTGAGGCAGTTTGTTGCTCATTTTCACACCTCAGGGGATGAACAATAACTCATTATTTTGGTGTGATTCAGTAGTGTTTGGTGATGTGACCATACCCTTAGCCGTGCTTTACCCTATCCCCAGAACTGTCTTAATATGTTTTGAGTTTCAGCTGATGACTTTATGTATACCCGGCTTTCGGTCACAATGTAAATAACTTGAGTTTCTTGATCTCTGTCTAATGAACAGCCTGACAGTAGCGATTTTTTGGACAATTCAGAAGAAATATACTACACTGCAAGATCTAACATGGTATTTTTCATGTTATGCCTTTCTTTGTCAGTGTTAGTTTTGCCTTTATTTTCCTTTTTCAAAGCTCATGTGTTGTCCTGGTTTTGTACTGGTCTTTTCATCTGTGTAAAAGCCATTCAATATAAGGATTAGTCTATATGTGTAGTTCTGTAATGTGGGAAGGAATTATTAGTATGCGCAGTATTGAAAGTATTTAACCCGTATTCTTGTTTAGTTGAATCACTTTCATAGAAGGGCTTCGTATTATGCACTCATTCTAATTTATTTAACTGCCTTACAACACGTAGCTTGTTAATTTTTTGGAGAGTGAGTAAAAATAGAAGAGACATTCTCTTTGTATTTTTGTCTGGTAGTTCCTTTAAATAATCTAATGGAAGACTATAAAATTGCATAAATGTAAGTCTCTGAATTCTCCAGATGGTAATTGTGTTACAGAATGAATATACACTTAATACAAATAACAGAAAGTGCGGTCATAAGTGTTTTCAATGGCATTTGGTATCATTTATAGTCTCATACATTTTCCAAATTTTCTCTTACTGCACTGCTTAAAAATTTGGTTGTTAGCATAGCAGTGTAGAAATTACTCTAGAAAGTGAGTTTTCTTATTTCTGTGCTCTTTAGGCACTATGTAGTTAGTAAAGTAATGCTTGTAAATCTTTGGCATCTTCATATACTGTTGGAAAAAAATAGGAAACATTCTGTGTTGGATGAAGAGCATTATTCCAATACCTTTATTTGATTTGTTGGATGATTAATATAAGTGCACTAAGGGGAAAACTGAAAACTAGGGTGTTTGGGAATGTCTTGTTTTGTTCTTACATTTTTTTTGTTTGGATTTTTTGTTTGTTTTGGCATCTGTTGCCTTGGTGTGACTTGAATCTGCCAATATCATAGTTACTGAAAGCTTAGACTGTCTTCCCCATTCTTGGAAGGAACTTCCTGTATTGCTTGATTGTAAAAATGTTTCTCAAATTGTTTTGACGTCAGTAGCTTAGGTTTCCCTGTATGCAGTGGGAACACTTCCATCCTATGCAATTGTTCTGGTTTTGGGAGTGTGGTTTTGGTTTTTTGGTTCAGTCTGCTTTTGGTTTTGTCTTTTCAGTTTAACACTTATTTAAAAAAGTCTTTTTCAGGTTACTTTCAGTCTTGTCACATATTGTGCTAGCCTAGTATCTGTAGGTCTAAAGAGACGAATGAGAACTTGTCTCCTAACTGGACTGTCCTTTCCCATCCTTTTTTTACCCCATGCTGTTCAATACACTTTTCAAAAATGATTACTATGATAAAGCTTGTAAAGTACTATTGTCACAGTCGTGAGAGTGTTTTTAAAGTCAGTCAACAGCACTTTCTGTGTTTCACTGCTTTCTTCACAACCTCCTGTGCTCACTGTGAAAGAGGAGAATTCTGATTTGGTGCTAATGCTTCACTCATTTGTGAGATTTTTCCAGTAAGACTTAATATTTCTGGAAATTAGAAAAAATATTTAGTAATTGGTTTGGTCTTCTGTGGTGGACCAGGACATACTAATCAGACTTTCTTTTCTGTCTCTCTCCTACCCCCACTCCCCCCTCCTGCTCTGACAGTTTTGGCTTCAGATGTGTTCAGTGATATGTGGATTTTTCAAATGTCATCAAGAGGAAAAGAGTATACTTTTTCATAAGCATAATATATGCCCTACTACTCTGGGCTCTTTCCCATGCTGTTCTACTGGGGTTTTTTAATGCTCTTATGAGCAACAACTCATTTGCAGAACTATGCTTCTCTAAGATCCTAAAAAATATTATCAGAAATTGAGGCATATTTTGGGCAGCATGAGTCATGAAAGGTATACAGTCGAGGTTGAAAGCAAATTTGGGGATTGAGTGAGAGTATTTTTACCTATCACATGGCATTTTGCACAGCTGGATGGATTATTTGGCAGCTTATGCAGTCACTATGCACATTATCTTTTAAAAATTTGATGCCTACACCTTAAAAATCATTCCTGTCCTTTTCCTCTTACCCCTTCCTCCACCTCTGTGCTCCTGAAACAGCTACCTGAATCTGCCAGAAGAATGAAGAAATTCAGTACACGTCTTGTTTGCAGGGAAAATTCAGTGTCCAGACCCGAGTATCCCTTCATGCAAATGGCAAACAGAAAAAGACAAGACATTACTTCTCTTTGATCTTCTACAAATACACCCCTTTGATTCATATCTAAATAAATAACAGAATATTTTGCTCTAGGTACAGGGCTCTTCTCTCTTTCAGAATAGAACTTTTTTTATTTTTTCTGCAACTAGACAACAAGTTTCTCAAGAACTTACTTGGGTACCTTCCATCACTTGAGATTTTCTTGCACATGCTCCTTCCTGTCATTTCAAGTTCCTCATGTTCATGTTGTGGTCATTGCACTGTCTTTTGGCAGCTGTTTTCTGGCAATCTCCTTTGCCTTAGGAGCAGCAGAGGTGTGTAGGACACTAAAAAAAAAGTCTTATCTTACATGCACATTAGACTTTACACAGGGTAGACCTCAAACAAATGCTTCTCCCATATTTTTCACTGTCTTTCAGTGTATTTCAAAAGCAGTTGTTTGGGTACAGACTCAAATAAGTGGGAGAGCTGAGCATTGCATTTGCAATGAGCTCAGTAAATGGTTTAAATCAAAGTAAGCTTCTCTATGTATATGTACACCTTTTTGTTCTAGAACAATTTTTAAGTTTTATGCTATTGATCCTGGGAAAAGCACCTGAAAAATCCAATGGCTAACTAAATGTGTGACTGTTCATCTTGTACTGCGGTAGCTACCATGATGGCAGTCTCAGGAGTCTACATGAGTTGGCATAATGAGGCCAGATTTCTGTCGGTTGAAATGTTTTTGCTATCATTAAGCGTGTGTTCAGAGTAGTCTCAAGTATATGACGACCTGAGCAAAAAATATGCAGCTGCTTTTGGGTTATTTTTTTCTACCAGATCAGTTCCCCATTCAGGTTCCCTGTGTGGCATTGCAGGTAGCTGTGTCAGTGAGGTGTGGAGGGAGGTGCAAGGAGTAGAGAGAAGCTAAGAGTAAGGACTGTTAAACCCAGCTTCTGCAGAGCTGTTGCTATGTGGGTAACTTCTCAGAGGTGACATGTTGTACTTGTGAGTGGTGGGGTCTGTCAAGCGGAATCTGTACGAAAACTTGGTGGCTGGTCCCAGAAGCCCTATTTCTGAGAAACAGAGCGTACTGTTGTTCTGATTCAAAACAAAAGGTCATGTTGAGTGAATAAAAATATTTTCATTCAAGTTATCCTGATCTGCAGTGAAATACTGTGGCAAAAAAATCTTTATTCCTTTTCACAGTGAGCTGAAAAGTAATTCCAGTTCATATATGGTAGACTGAGCTGCATACCTTGTTAAGTTATAAGTACCATCAGAGAATCCCCCAAAAAACGTTGAGTTGGAAGGAAACCTTGGAGATATCTAGCCTTCTCCTGCTTAAAACAGGGGCCTCTTCCAAGCTAGATCCAGAGGCTACTTTGGGCTTGTCCAGTTGAAGTTTGAGTCTGTCTCAAGATGGAGAGAACTGAGCGTCTCTAGGCCCTGTCTCAAGGTCTGCACTGCTCCCACGGGGAGGAGTTAGTTCCTTATGGCCAAAGTTTGCATTGCTGGCATTTGTGCCTGATGCCTCTTGTCCTTCCACTGTGCATCTGAGAAGAGCCTGGCTTGGTCTTCTCTATAATGCTCTGTGGGATAGCTGAAGACAGCAGTTACTTTCTTCAGGCTACAAAAGCTCTGTTCTTTCGGCCTTTCCTATTGTGCCATTTCCTCAATCACTTGAACAATCTCAGTGGCCTTCTGGCTTCCCTCCAATCTGTCAATGTTTGTCCTGGGAAGTCCCAAATAGAGGGGGTAACCCCCTCTGGCTTCTCTGTGGTTTGCCACCTGTACCGCAAGTGCTTGCTGCTGGTGTGTAGTCCTGCTCCTTGTCTGCTGGGACCTCCAAACCCCTTTCTGCAGTTGTCCTTCCCACCCCCAGCCAGCTTGTCCTCGGCTCCTTCTTGTGTATGTGGTTGGTCTCTCCTAGCTGCAGGACTTTTTAGTTGGCTGTGTTAAACCCCATGGGGTTTTGTTGCCTACTCCTCCAGCTTGTTGACGTTCTTCTGACTAGCAGCCCACTCTTTTTTTTTTTTTTTTTTTTTTTTTCCTTTCGCCGCGCCTGCTCTTTCCCCCCTGTGCCCGCTCTTTCCCCCCTCTCCCGGCTCACTTTTTTTTAAGTGTTGAATTCTACCATTTTAGAAAGTGAGACAGGAGTTGAACAGAATTTGAATTTGATATCTCAGGTCCCAACCTCCAGTTATTTTCAGTTGTTATGAACTTAACGTTTGTTTTAGACTCCTTTAGCAAAGAATTCAGTTACCGTGCAGTCTGCACTGTTGTATTTGCCAGTGCATTTATACATTTGGTTCTATTTTAAATAATTTGGTCACGTTTGGTTTTTGTTTTGGCTTATAAATATATTCTGGGGTTAAGAATTTGTAATAGCTTTTCGTAACACTGAATTTTAGGAAAGCAGTGTTTCAGCATAGCTGTTCTGGTTTATTAATTATTGTGGCAGAAAACCTTAAATATTGTTAGGAAAATGTTCAATTTCATTGCAAGGAGGCAGTTTAAAAATGCTGTGTACAATTGCTTGTTACATCAAGGTCTTACCGTAGCTAATTATGGTAGTGATGTTCCATTATATGGGAATGAAGTAGTGCTGTTTGTGCCAAGTGGGCATTCATAGACAAAATGCATAGAGAACTGAAATACAGGGGAAGAGGTAAACAGTGGTTGTGTAGCAGTAATGCACAGTAGAACCTCAGTCACCAGGGAAGGATTATATTTAGCCTGTTTAAAAAAAGTATACATGTAACTTGCTATTTCTGATGTCTTAAGCTATCCAAATAAATTCAAGAACATACTTTTTAATAAAATAAGGGCAATAAAACTATAGCATATGCATTAGGTAGTATTAGTCTCTTTTTAAAATTAACATCCTCTTTTATGGAGCAATGTGATAGGAATTGCTTAATCGTTTTACTGAGAAATAAAGATGTGTATGTGCCTTCTTGTTTGGTAGTCCAAAGGTTAGTTAGTAGTCCAAAGGTGATTTGTATACTTTGAAATTCAGAATTACTTCTCCAGCACTTTGTGGATTTAAAGTCTTAACTTTGTCACTTCAAATGATCTTGTTTCTCACTAAATTTCAGGAACAGCAAATGTAGGAAGTAACTGTGAATTGCTGGTTCACTGTATACATTCAGTTTTGGTTTTTGAAGGACTGAACACCAAAAAGTAGATTTCCAGTACAGCTCCACCCTACAGAACAAATGAGGAACATAAGACTGTCAAAGTCAAAGTAACAATTAAATCATCATGAAATTCTGCTGAACATAAAGAGCAGGTTTTGAAACTTAAACTGCAGAAGGTATTGTAGATTTGATCATTACTGAGGAATTTGTTCCATAGCATGGCCTTACCACCAAATTTGTCTTTGCTTTGAAGAAATCTTTATACTGTTTTTAGGCATTGATTACTTTGCACATCTGATTTATCTGAAGGTGTGGTTTGCCTTTCTACATGACTTCTTCATTGAGTATACTCAGGCTCTTGAGAAGAGCTGGTGATTATTCCTTGTATTGCCTTTTTTCCAAAGCCATTGTTGCCAGCAAATAGCACTCTGTCTTGTACATAGTTATGTTGGTTCAGTAGTAGGTCATTGCTAACCTGAAGCTGAACACAGAATAATCTGGGGTTGCACTTTGATTAAACACCAAGGTTATTGACTTCTCATTCCTACTGGCTCTAGATCTTGAGATTCTCTTGGAAAATACCTGTCTAGTCACTCAGGTTTATTTTGTGTGAATGTTGCCTGATGTAAAAAGAATTTTAATAAAGTAGTCGGCATTGTATGTATGTTAAATGAAAATATTAATGTAGATTAATAAAGTAATTGTGTTACTTCAAGGATGCAGGAGAGGTAACAGCTTTTATTAAGCCAATTGTTGCATCATTTATTAGTTCGTGCTAATGTATTCTTCCCAGTGGGAATCCATAACTGATAAGATTTCTATTTTGTTGAAAAATACATTTATATTTGATTGTTTGTTGTTTTTTTTTTTTTAAATAAAATCTAGTTATACTGATTGTTCTGATAAAGTATAACAGCTCACTGGAAGCCTTGCAGGGTACATGCAGTATTTTCCAATGTTTTTGTATCAAATATATAGCTAGAAGGTTTATAAAATTATAACTTCTGGATATATTTGAAATAGAAGGTACAAGAAAAATACATTGCACTTTATAAAAGCTCTCAGTATTTATCTATTCAGAGTGCAAAAGAAGGAATGTCCCTAGCAATGAATTACTTGACCCCACATTTGGAGTGAAAACCAGCAATATTTAAAGGGCTCAGAAGAACACTAACAAGTTAGTTAAGGCAAAAATATACATATCGAATTAGAATCATAGTCAAAAAACTGCTAATAGGCAGCACGATAGTAAACGGAATCAAAACAAAGCTTTTGTCCTTTTAAAGGATTTAAACATAAGAAATTCTGACAGATGTCATTTTTCGTAAAGAAAATTCCAGTAAGGCTTAAAAAGTCTGATGACAGATCATGGCTCCTTATGTTTCATGGGAGTTTGCTTATTTTCTCTTATTAATTTTCCTCTCATTGCTGTACTATATATAATGATATGCATTGCACAGTGTGTAAATTAAAAAGGACAGACGTTTTGGCTCTGCCCAGCGTAAGATCTTTGTTTCCCAGTTGTGATTAACATGGTTTTGCAGCATGTAGACAAAATGCTTGTCACTTCGAAGCGAAAACCTTGTTATACTGATTTGGGCTTATTTTTCTGAACAGCCTCCCAGTCTTTGTTCTGATGTCTTCTTACATAGACTCACACAACCTGTTTAACCTCCTTGTTTATGAGCCTGGTGATGTCTTACATTTCCAGTCTTGTTGTTTTCTGCTCTAGAGCCTGAATCCTCAAAATACCTGTGCTTATATGTGGAAGTTTTTGAGATCCCATAGTAGTAATATAAGTATTCACAGTACAGTTAAATCTGAGTTTTTGTGGTGGATTGGAGTACATCAACTGGTGGTGAGGACCAACACAAAGGAATTGCCTGGGTAAGGTGACAGATACTGAGAGTGATGAAGAGACTGAAATTGCAGATGGCCTTTCTTAAGCAAAGGAGACTTGTTGAGCTTGTGTGAGGCAAAGAGCAAGAGGAGTTGAGATTTGGGCCATAGGAGGAGGATGAAACTGTGAAGAAGGAAGATAAGGATAGTAGAAGGGATCAAAAGATACCCACGACTGAGGCCTGGCCCCTTCCACCTACTACTTCACAGAGCCCAGGACATGTTCCTGGAAAGGGCCAAGCCTTCCTCCCCACTGGCATGGCCACTTGTGAGCCCTTCTTTCCTGCCACCTAACTTTCTAGCTCTACTGACGGAAGTCTAGGGAGAAAGTTGAGTGGCCCTTGTGAGTCAGACCCATAGAAGTGGATGCGGTTTGGTGGTTTTGTGTTCCAGGAAACATTTTAAAGGTCTCCCAGCATCTTCTGTTGAACAGGTCTCTTTCAGCTGCAGCCCGTATCAAAAGCATGTCATCCTTCAGAAAAATGCCCAGATATCCAAGCTATAAGAGCAATAAGCTCGGATTAGGCAACCACAACTCATGGGGCTGATCTCTCAAAAGGGCATTTTTAAATATCAGAGGAAAAGTCTCACCCTAGATTTGCCAGTGCTCCCTGCTGATGAAGCAGAAGCCACTGCAGCTTTCAGTTTCAGACTGAAGGGCAATCACTTTAATACAAAGCTATATATATTGTTTTCTGCTCACTAAAGAGTTCCAGGTTGTTCGTTGCACCTTCAATTCTGCTCTCTAAAGTTAACTGGTAGTTTCCGCATGGATGTTTCAACACAGCTGTCAGTAGTATTTGATTGCTTCAGTGACTTTCCATATTTTCCCAAGACAAGTGAGATACTGTGGAAAAAACAGTATGTAACTGATAATTACTTGATGTAAAAGAATGCATAGATCAGAGGGTTGAATAAAAATCACAGAGGCGAGCCCGATGCTGGCATTTCCTGAATCATGGAAAGACTGACTTTTCAATCGTACCAACTTTATTAGACATCTTTTTTCAGCATGGAGCACTGGCAAATCAACTTTCCCCCTAGACTTCCATCAGAGATGCAGCAGACTGGCAGAGAAGAATGATGGGCCTGAGAGTGGTGTTATTGGCCAGAAATGCCAGGGGAATGAGCTTGTTTGGTAGCTCAGGTGTGGCAGAGGGGGTAACTGCAGCATGACACAGGGTATGTATTTGATGCTCACCTGTTAGTCTTAAAGATTCATTCTCTTATATTTGTAGGATCTACAGCTAGAATACGGTCATGGTCCCCAGTGTGGCTACTTCTTGGGTGCAAATAAGTGAGTAAGCAATGGCATTTTCTGTCTTTAATTCATTCAAGGCAGTTTTTACATGCATTTGTGATTTTTATATTAAACACATTAGCTGAAACATGTAGTAAAATGTCAAGCTTGTTTGTATCAGTTGCAATTCCAAAATCACTATTTATTTCTAAAATAGTAGTAATTCCAATGATACAGAATTACAGCACTGTTCAGTAATTAACATAGTCAACACAGCCTCATCTCTACAGTGCTGTAAGCTTCCTTTTAAGTGCAGTTATTTTGATCTGCGCATTGACAAAATGTTCTGTATGATAGGTACCCCAGAGCACGATTTTACACCATCTAGGAACTACCAGTGCTGCTCTTTGACAGTACTTTATGCCCTTCTTCATATTGTAGGGTACTAGGAGCATTCAATTATAGGTGCTTTAAAAAACCAAAACTTACCTGTCTCAGCAAAGTCCTTTAACTTCATGTTCATACATTTAATAATTTTATTGTATTAATCGTATGAAATAGTTTTCCATGTAATTCTTTCTATCCACCCAATTTTTTAATTACATTTCTGCATGTCAGAATTAGGAAGCCTAGCTTTGCTTTCTAAGTTAAATAATGTTTTAAAAATGCAGAAAATCTAAGCATGGAATATATTTTTACACATTTACACTTTTAGTTGGGGAAAATACAAATATTGGTATCTCCAAAATTCTTTTTCTCATCCCTGTGTTTTGCCTGCTGTTCCTTCCTGTGTCTTTTCAGACAAAGACACAAAACTGAAGAAGTTCAGAATGTTACAAAAATGAACTAGGGAAGAATTAATTTATTCCAATAGTGGTTCAGTCCTCTTGTCAGTCTGATTTTTCTTTTTTTTTATGATTATGATTTTCTTGGACAGCATGGATTTGTTTTAAATTGGATCAAGCTAAGTTTTACAGTACAAGGAGCAAGGACCACTGCACAAGGACCACTGCACTTGATAGCAATGTGTTGATAAACACATTTGGAAGTATGTTGTCTAGAAAAAAAAAAAAAGCATCTGTGTTCATTTGTGTGTGGATGTTTGATGTATGTTCTGAAAGCCAGCTGAAATAACATGCTTTGGATTATTTACTGATAGAATCATAGGAGCATTTGGCCTGGTTTTTGTGTGCCACAATTAAACTGTGTTCTTATTCTTATTTAATGCTGAAGGAGTCTCTTAAAATCAGTTGAAGAAGAACTGCATCAGCGGTAATTCTATTCTTTATTTTTTTTCCCCTCCTGTGTGTTTCGACGTCATTTGTGCATTGATTTCTTATGTCTATCACAACTAGTTCTTACTGTCCCTGTATTTGCTGAGAGAAAATGGGAGAGGCTTAGTTGTCTGGATTGCAGCTGTGCTTTAAAGAATAATAATAATAATGGCAACAAGCTAAAAGACAGTAAAATTCTGTAAAAGAGGTAGTAGCCCTTGAGCTCATAATTTTTCGCAGTAACCGAGGTAATTTTAATACAACTCACTCAGCCATAGTACCTTGTTCATTTTCATAGGGGACATGTGGCACATTTAGAAGATGATGATGATGCAGATGATGATGCTAAACAGTAAGTCCTTTCTTCTTGTAAAAAAAAATAAATATATAAATAAGCTGATGCTTCAATAGGTGAAAATTTTAACGAAGTTGAATCATATGTTCTATCCCTAATAGCTCAGGATTCTTTTTCTTCTATAGCTTTTTTAAAGATAGGCATTTACTATTGTTTCTAGATTACATCACTAGAAGTTCTCTTAGTCTGCTGGTAAACTTTGTTATAAATTAGGAGGAAAAGAAATCTTGTTTCTTGCTTGATACAGTTCTCCTTTTATCTTTAATTGTTGAGCAAAATCTTGGCATAGTTACATCGAGCCAGTAATTCTTCTGACACCAGTCCTGGTGTCCTTTTTTAGAGCTGACGACTGTATATTAAAATACAGCTCATTAGAAGTACATAAAATATATACGTAACTGTCTTCTCTGGATGATTTTGTTCTGTCCACATTCTCAGCTACGGGGATGCTTATATGGGTGCTCTATTTTGGGATAGAGCTGGCTCCCTTACCACAGAGAGAGCGAGGTTATGTGACTGCACAGGCAATATCTATATGGATGTGTTAAATTAACTATGCTTATATTAAATTCCACTGTTATTCCTGGGCTCTTTTTGATTGACAGGTAAGAGCAGAAACAATGTAAAACGCACAGCCAGTATGTGGAAATTTGCATTCTTAAATGAATCTGATGTAAAGACCAAAAAGAAAGATGCTGTTGAGACAGAATTCTTGTTTACCTTCTGTTAATGGTTAATGGGTAATTTTGAAAGCTGTTGCTTCATACCAGAAACCTGTAAAACATGCATTATCTGTTGCTGGCATCTGTCTCTTACAAAGAACCAAGTCTCTGTCT